CCCATCAAAACTGGATGTGCCCCACCAGAGCCAGGGGCATGTGGTTTTGTAATTTTAGGGAATTTACTGCTCTTGGAGTTGGAGTCACGATTAAAGGACATGGGTTAATTAACTTGAGTAAGTGAAGGTGATGTGAATAGTCCACTGAATTTGGTTTGGTACCCTGAGCACGAGGGATGTGGGGACCATTTACTGCATGCAGTTGATAACTTCTTGCTTGACAGTCACATCACTTGTTTTAACTGTGCCAGTTTTCTGTGTCTTTGCAGCTTTTTAGTTACGTTTTTAGCCCTTCACTTGAAAAGCCACTCTAGAAGCTACAGAGAGAGCAAAGCTTCATCGATTTTGATGTCCCCTGTGGTCCCTCTGCATCGTGGCGCTCATGGGTGCTTCCCAGAAAGCCCCTGGTCCGTATGCTTTGCAGAGCACCCGCGGGCCATTTACAATACTATCTAATTATTATTGCTTAATTTAGCAAATGCTTCAAAACCGATGTGGTTGCCTACAACAATTAGTGGCATCCCTCGTTGTGCAGTGATTCATATGAATAAAATTAGCTGCAGGCAGGGAGTGAGAGCGAGCGTAGACGGAGGCTGGGAGCGTGCAAGGAGCAGGGCGCAGGGCTGGTCTGAGGGTGTGTGCGTGTCCTGCCACAGGGCAGATGTTGGCTGGCTTTAGTTGGAATGATTTTATCTGTTTTAGCTATAGAAAAGCACCTTACGTGCTGAACTTTTGATTTCAGATTGATTAAGTTGATTGTTCACCCGGGTAAAGCAAGGCATGTGTTTAAAGCAAAATCAAAGTGTGCTAAACTCTGTATACATGGAACAGTTGGAGGTATCCATTATGTCAGATCTTTGGCAGCAGAGACATGGCTTTCTGCTGGAGGCCAGCTCCGCGCACGTGTGTGTGCACGGAAAGCAGGGGCAGTGGGGCCGGGTGTCGCTGCACCCACGAGAAGCTGTAAAACATTTTGGTACGGTCTCAGTCTGCAGCTGCAATAGCTGGAAAACCAAGAAGAAGCTGAAAGGGGCTGTGATAATGCAGAGGTATCAGCCTGAGTAGTTGATGAACCATCCACGTTGCTGATGGTTAATCCAAAGTGGTAAAATGAAGTAAATGAGAATGTTTCCTCTGGATAAAGTGGGACACAGAGGTCCTCACAGCAGACCTGATGGGCATTTTCAAAAGTTGGAGGAAAAACCTCCTTTGGTTAGCCAGAGCAGCTGTGCTACCCACTGGCACTACCGGGCTCCTCCTTTTCTCAGTTTAAAGGCTGAAATAACTGGGAAAGGGCCCTCTCCCAGCAAACATTCCCGCTGTCATGGAGTGATTGGTGCACAATGCCACAGTACTGTGTGAGGCTCCTGGGGACACTGTGCATCTCCCCACCTGGGGTGCCATCACCCCCTCCCTGGTGTGCCTGCCTGCCCCAGTGAGGCCTCTGCTTGGCCACGGGCTGGCCCAGGAGCACCACTCCAGGCACTGGTTTGCCCATGGGTAGCACTTGGTTGGCCAGGGGTGACACTAGGATGCCCGTGGGTGGCACTGGGATGCCAATGGGTGGCACTAGGATGCCTAAGGGCTGTACTAGGTTGCCCATCAAAGGCATTGGGGTTTGTCCAGGGATAGGATCAAGTTGCCCAGCAAAGGCGCTGAGTTACACAGTCTGCACTGAGTTGCCCAGGGGTGGCATTGGGTTGCCCACTGAGGGCACTGAGTTTGTAGGATCACAGAATATCTCAAGTTGGAAGGGACCCATAGGGGTCATCAAGCCCAACTCCCTGCTCCTCACAAGACTACCTAAAAATAAATCATATGACTGAGAGCATTGTCCAGCTGCTCAACAGTTGCCCAACAGCTGCACAAAGTTGCCCAGCAAGGGCAGTAGGTTGTCCAGGGCAGGAACTAGGAGGCCATGCCAAGGTATTTTCTTGCCTGGGGATGTCACCGGGTTGTCCATTGTGGGCACTGGGTTGGCCAAAGGCTGCATCAGGTTGCCATAGCAGCTGCAGGGAGTTGCCTGGGCAGAACCCTGAGCACTCTGTGCCCGTGGCAACGGTCCCCTGATCCTGTGTCACTGCAGGCTCCGGGGATGCTGCAGCACCTGCTGCGGAGCCCAACAGCACAGCGGTGAGTGGCAGCCCCCCAGGCACCCCCAAAATCCCAGAGTGCCCCCCACACCAGGGCAGCTAAGGGTGAGTAGGTACTTTAACTGGAAGGGGGGGACTAAAAAAGCAGGTATTTCTCCTAATCCTCCCCAGCATCTCTCATATCACCCAAATGTACCCAAACCAGGTCATCAGGGGCTCCTGTCCTGTGGCCATGTTCAGGGATGGCAGAAAGTGTCACCCTGGGATGGCATGGCAGAAAGTGTCACCCTGGGATGGCTTATCCTGAGGGTGATGCAGGGGTATTTGTTTCAGCTGGATGTGCAGGGAAATGTAACCCCGGTCCATTCCCAAGGTTTTTTCCTCCCTTTCTTAAATGTGTGTCTGTCTGGATCTGAAAGGGAATAATTTATTTGCAGGGGTGGGAGCCAGGAAAGCTGTCTCCCACCCTCTGAGTGATGTTTCTCAGGTATAAATAAGTGGCACGGAGCTAGGGAAAGTGCAGTCGTTTATCCCTAGCAGGGACAAAAGGGCTGAAGTGACTGGGTTGTGGGAACCGGCACACACAGTGGTTTTTGTTGGACCTGAGCACAGACATTTCATCCTCGGTTCTGCCAAACTGGCTCGGAGGGTTGTGTTTGTGAATGTTTTTTTGCTAAATTTGAGGGTGTGATTTTCCTGCTGCCTATCCCACAGCCTCTTTGGCCAGGCTGGGTCCAGGGGCGAGACTCAGTGCCTGCAGCTATGCTGCTCTCAAGTCAGGTACTGGGGCAGCCCATGCCAGCATGGCCAAAATTGGGCAAGGCTTGAAAATAGAGCCCTCAAAGTTCAGTGATTTCCCAGCTGCAGGCTGTGCACTTTTCCCCTCTGACTCATCCCTATTTTTCTCCGATTTGTCCCAGCTAAAGGACCTGTTATTCTCCCGCATTCACCGTTTGTTTATTTAATTGCTGCATTTTGGGACGCTCTTTAAAGCCATTCCAGGCATGGGTGACACAAAAGATCTCTTAGGTCACCTGTCCCCGTAGCTAGATGTTGGAAAACGTGCAGTTTAATGAGTGGTGTTGTCTGCTCATTGCCTGGTGTAAATGGGCATGGATCCACAAGAGTCAGTGTGGGCATCTGGCATGAAGAAGGGTTACCACTGGTGTAACTGGTGTACAGAGCCTGCCTGTCTCTGTCTGCTGCCCATCGCCTTTTAAGCTTGCCAGTAGGAAACCGTGACTCGTTGGTCCTGCCCTTCTGTAGAGAGAGATGTTCCTTGTTGCAGAGGTGACTGAAGTGAAAGAAACTCTCTTTCCCAGGGGTTTTATGGTTTTAAAAATAAGCCAGCCTCTCTCAGCTCGCCCACACATGCAAATGGATCAGGGTAGCCCAGGAGGAGCAATTAAACCTCGAGTCATGTGATTGCTTGTGTGGAGGCTTTGTTCTAGAATAAAAGCAAGTTTACTTCATGCAAGCACCCATTTTTAAAGGCATAAAGTTGATCTCATGCTGCCATAAATGGGATTTAGCACATACTTTGTGTCAAACACCCTTCCCATCCAGGGATCTTGTAGCACGCTGGAGTCTTAATCTTTTACTGGGGCTCTGAACCGGGCTGGGAGCAGTGGGGATGGGTCGGTGTTAGGGTAAGGACACGTCCCTGCGACACAGCAGCTGGCTACAGTAGCCACAGGGGCTTGGTCCTGCCAGTGGGTGACACTTGTGGCCTCACAAGAACTTCATACTGAGCCCAGCGCACCCTCCCCAGTGTTTGCCCTCACATTAGGTGTGTTTGGTATACTTGGTGTCCCTCTGTGACAGGACAAGGGGCAGTGGGCGCAAACTGAAACATAAGAGGTTTCAGTTGAATATGAGGAAAAACTTCTTTACTTTGAGGGTGACAGAGCACTGGAACAGGCTGCCCATGGGGGCTATGGAGTCTCCTTCTCTGGAGATATTCAAAGCCCGCCTGGACAAGGTCCTTTGCAACATGCTCTAGGAGAACCTGCTTTAGCAGAGGGGTTGGACTAGATGATCTCCCAAGGTCACTTCCAACCCTTGTGATTCTGTGCGATTCTGTGCGATTTCTGATAACCGTTGACTGATAACCTCAATCCGAAAAGAGCAATAGCATCCACTGTGCCATATGCACTTATTGGTAGCAAAATCTTCCTTGCATAGCCGTTCCTCCATGGGTTACTGCGAGGCTGGGTGTTTGTGAGCTACTCTGAAAGGACACTGGGATCTCTCCTTTCCAAGCACATTTATTTCACATCGGGTGAGACACAGGTATTCTTCTTCCTTTGCAAGTCAAGAGGTGGCTGTTCTTTTTAGGTTGAAATAGGTGGGGGGGTTCCAAATTTGTACATAGTCCCCCAAAGCTCAGCTCACCTGCAGACTCCTTGCTGGAGTGTTTAATGCAAGTGAAGATAGAGTTGATGAGCATGGAGCCCCTCACCCACACATGCACTGGGTTGGTAGCAGCCATGTGTCCAAAGCTATTGGCGCTGGTAATGGAACTTTTAAAGAGAAAATTACATCTGGAGTACTATAAGATCAGCAGATACACCTGCCGAAAGAAAGAAATTAACAGCAGAGAATCAGCAGCTACAGTCTCACTGGATTGATAGATTTAAGGAAAATGAAGGTGTAATATCTGTCATTCTCCTTGATGCCATGATTTGTTTCTCTCTGCATTTCAAGACCTGATGCTAAATACTAACAACAAAGTCAAACATATACAAATGCTTGGGATGCTGTCGGAAGGGATTTGCTTTGAGGAGTTTCAGGCCTGTACGGGCGAAGCCTGGGTGCTGTGTGCATCACTGTCTGTACGATACATCACACGTTGCACGTGCAGGACCTCACTGAGCGAGGTTGCCTTCTTCTGTCTCCTTTGTGCAGGACACGTACCTGAATAGCAGCGGTCAAGAATGGAGCTGGTTGGCTCTCCTTTAACGGCAACACATGCCCATCCAACATCAACACCTACCAGGTTTCTGCCTGCCATCAGCACCATGGCCTCAAGCTATAAGAACCGTTTTCCTTACTACCCCTTGCCTCAGAGCTTCAGCCTCCCCTGGATGCCCAGCACCTACTACAGAACAGCTGCCATCAACCCAACTTTGGCTCCCTTTTCCAAAAGCTCGCAGGGGTTAAGCCCCAGCAAGACGCTTCCTTTTATTTCCAACAGAACAACGCTCTTCACCCGGTACACCCCTGATGACTGGCACAGGTTCAACCAGACCAACTACAAAGAGTCGGAGACTTCCCGGCACAATGCAGAGCGTCTGAGAGTCGATAACTCCCGCATGATTCAGGATAAATATCAGCAGACAAAGAAAACACAAGTAGAAAGCACCAAAAACCTGGGAGAACGTGTCAATGACATTGAATTTTGGAAATCAGAGCTCTGCCATGAGCTGGATGAGATGATCGGGGAGACCAACGCACTCACGGACATGAAGAAACGACTGGAACGAGCCTTGGCTGAGACAGAGGCCCCTCTCCAGGTAAGCACCAGGTCCAGAGGGCTGCTGAAACATCTGCAGCCATTCCAATGTCTAATTAAGTTTCATTGCAGCTCTATAACGTCTAGAAAGTTTTTATTAAGAGGCCATTAGTTAAGTTAGTAATAAACAAATCCCTTGCCACCTGCTGCATCCCCTATCAGACCATGCTGAGCACATCTGAACAGTATTTGCTTAACCAAATATTTTTATAAGTGGTATATCCAAAATCCTGGGTTGGGAGACAAAAGCCCATGTCTTCCTACGAGGCTCTGGCAAGGTCAGCATCAAGGCAGACACAGGTCCCTGCATTCAGCTGTGGTTGGACCAGGGACACATAGAATCATAGAATCATAGAATCGCTTTGGTTGGAAAAGACCTTTAAGATCATCGAGTCCAACCTTTAACCTAACCCTGCCATCCCACCACTAAACCATGTCCCTAAGCACCTCATCTATCCTTCTTTTAAATACCTCCAGGGATGAGGACTCGACCACCTCCCTGGGCAGCCCATTCCAGAGCCTGACAACCCTTTCAGTGAAGAAGTTTTTCCTAATATCTAACCTAAACCTGCCCTGGCGCAGCTTCAAACCATTCCCCCTCGTCCTATCATCTGTTACCAGAGAGAAGAGGCCGACCCCCACCTCCCTACAGCCTCCTTTCAGGTAGCTGTAGAGGGCGATCAGGTCTCCCCTCAGCCTCCTCTTCTCCAGACTAAACAACCCCAGTTCCCTCAGCCGTTCCTCGTATGACTTGTGCTCCAGACCCCTCACCAGCTTGGTTGCTCTCCTCTGGACATGCTCCAGCAATGCAACATCCTTCTTGTAGTGAGGGGCCCAAAACTGAACACAGTATTCGAGGTGCGGCCTCACCAGCACCGAGTACAGGGGCACGATGACTTCCCTTGTCCTGCTGGTCACACTATTCCTGATACAGGCCAGGATGCCATTGGCCTTCCTGGCCACCTGGGCACACTGCTGGCTCATATTCAGCCGGCTGTCAACCAGTACCCCCAGGTC